GGGGTGTGGACCACCATCACCTACTATGCCATCGGCTTCGCTCCGGAGTTTTCCCGGTGGAGTGTCCCTTGGGTAGTTGGTAGTATGTTCTTCTTCATGTGTCTCCTGCAACCATTCGTGCTCACACTGCTCTCAGCTGGGGTCTGGACGACCAGCACCTACTATGGCATCTGATTCGCGCCTGAATTCTCCCGGTGAGTGTCTCAGCGAGGCATGTTCCCTCTGTGGATTCATAAGGCTCACAGATATATGGAAACCACTTCTGAGAGTTCTCAAAAGTGATTTCCTGGTGAGTGTCTCAGTGAGGCATGTTCCTCCAGGCTCCAGGTATCCGTCATGGCTGCTCGTGCTACTCGTGGCTGACATTGGCATCGGATTCGCCCTCCATCCAGTTCTCCCGGTAAGGATGGATGAGAGTGGGTGTCTCGGTTGTGTGCCTCCCAGTGAGTCGCAAGCACCGCACTGCTGCTCGTGCTGCTCATGCTACTCTCATCTGGAGTCTGGACCTCTATCACCTACAACGCCATCAGATTCGACCCCCCAGTTCTCCTGGTGAGTGTCTCAGTGAGGTGCGTCCAGCACATTCCTCCAGGTGCCTTCCATGCATTCGTAATGCTTGCGCTGCTCGCGTTTTTTGAGTCGACTCAAAACACGGATGCATAAGGCTCGCGCTGCTCTCAACTGGAAACTGGGCTGGACGGCCATCACATCACCACCTGCAACGCCATTGGATTCTCTCCCCTAGTGCTCCCGGTAAAGCTGCTTATCATAGTCTGCTTTTGAGTCGACTCAAAGCAGAACCATCGGATTTGCTCCCCTAGTACTCCCGGTAAAAGCTGCTTATCATACTGCCCATGCCCGCAGCTCATAGCCAATGTCGGGACGGCTTTACCTGCCCAGCTCGTCCTTTAGAATTTACCCCGGAGTTTCCTGGTAAGGCTGCTTGAAGACAGTCTTGTTTGTACCGGCACTTGTCTTTTGAGGCTTCCTCAAAGGTCGTCACCTGCCCAGCTGGTCCGTTTAGAATGCGCCCCCGAGTTTCCTGGTAAGCCTGCTCAGAGCCAGTTTTTTTTGTACCGGCACTTGCCTTGCCAAAGCTCCGTTCACCCCTCCTCCCTTTTCCCCCATGCCACTCTCCCTCACCAGCCCTCCACCGCATCCCACCTTTTTAGCCCTTGTCATTCTCCCTTCTGACTCCTCATATTCCCCCCCTCCTCCCCCCCTGCAACTTCATCACCCAACTTCTCCTCTCTTCATCACCCACATGACTGCCTCTGCATCCTACCGAGCCATGGGTGCCATGCTCCGCAGCACCACTCTCATCAATACCGTTAGCAACACCTGAGTCGAAGCCAATGTCCCCCTCACCCCTCCTCCCGTTTCCCCTTGCCACTCTCCTTCCTGTCTCCTCATCCCCTCCTGCTGCAGCTTCATCACCCAACTTATCCTCTTCTTCATCACCCACATGTCTGCCTCTGCTCTCTACCGAGCCATGGGAGCAATATTCCGCAGCACCACGCTCATCAACACGCTTGGCAACTTCATCCTCGTCCTCCTCTTCCTGCTCTCAGGGTTCCTCATCACCAAAGGTGGGTGCTTGTCAGGTACTGAGAGTCAGTCATATGTGCTTGTCAGGTACTGAGAGTCAGTCATATGTGCTTGTCAGGTACTGAGAAGTCAGTCATATGTGCTTGTCAGGTACTGAGAGTCAGTCATATGTGCTTGTCAGGTACTGAGAGTCAGTCATATGTGCTTGTCAGGTACTGAGAGTCAGTCATATGTGCTTGTCAGGTACTGAGAGTCAGTCATATGTGCTTGTCAGGTACTGAGAGTCAGTCATATGTGCTTGTCAGGTACTGAGAGTCAGTCATATGTGCTTGTCAGGTACTGAGAGTCAGTCATATGTGCTTGTCAGGTACTGAGAGTCAGTCATATGTGCTTGGTCAGGTATGAGAGTCAGTCATATGTGCTTGTCAGGTTACTGACAGTCAGTCACATTTCCTCTTGCTACTACGTCCTCCTCTTCCTGCTCTCTGGGTTCCTTATACCAAAGGTGTGTTCTTGCGAGGGTAGGGCAGTTGATGAGGGCAGCGCAGTTAGTAGTTGCCTAAAATGTGTAGAGCACCACATTTAGTTTAAATATAAGTGTTTTGAGGACGTCTCCAAAACACTTCTTCAAACACGTTAGTAGTTGCTACCATGTGTAGAGCAGCCACATTAGCTAAATATAAGCGCAGCTAGATATAAACCTCGCCCTTCTCTTCCTGATCTTTTCAGGCGCCTCAAAAGCAGCTAGATTTAAGGCCTCGCCCCCTTCTCTTCCTGCTCTCTGGGTTGAGTTCACCATTGCTCAAGCTCAAAGTATGTGCTTGTGGGAGAATTTACCTGAGGAGGATTGTAACGGACACTCTTCTCCTCCCTGTTTCAAGCGTCTTTCGAGTCGGCTCAAAATTCCCATCACACACACGCATGCTCTTCTCATGCCCAATCTCACAGTCACTCTAACACGCCCACATGCCTACATCTACCATCCCATCTGCTATGCCCTACCCCTGCAGCTGAAATTCACAGTGTGTGGGTGTGGGTGTTATTGGATCTCGCCCCTCACTCACTGCTCTCTCATCCCATCCCATGTTCTCCTGTTCCGTGGGCCCCTTTTGCCCTTTGCAGACAACATCCATGATGTGTGGGTGTGGGTGTATTGGATCTCGCCCCTCACGTACCACTGCCCTCATAATCATCTCATCTCATCCCATCCTCAATCGACTCTCATGCTCACTCCTTCTTCGCCTGTTCCGTGCCCTCCCCCCCTGCAGCTGACATACACAGCGTGTGGTGTGGGTGTGGGTGTGGGTGTGGGTGTGGGTGTATTGGACCTCGCCCCTCACCTAATGCTCTCCCATCCCATTCCATGTTCGCCTGTTCCATGCCCCCCCTTTGTCCCTCCAGACGATATCCACACACGTGTGGGTGTGGGTGTACTGGATCTCGCCCCTCACGTACTGCCAGAACGCCTTCTCTGCTAATGAGTTCCTCGCCCCCAGATGGGATGTGGTACGTGCGGTGCTGTGCTGTGCGGTGCTGTGCTGTGCTGTGCTGTGCTGTGCTGTGCTGTGCTGTGCTGTGTTGTGCTGTGCTGTGCTGTGCTATGCTGTGTTGTGCTGTGCTGTGCGGTGCTGTGCTGTGCGGTGCTTTGCTGTGCGGTGCTGTGCTGTGCTGTGCTGTGCTGTGTTGTGCTGTGCTTTGCTGTGCTATGCCGTGCTGTAGGCTGGTGCTGCTCTCTACCAGCCCCCTCCTCAAACCAACAAAACACCCAACCATGCAGTTCCTCTGAACCGTTTCTCATCTCTCTCGTCTCTCTCGTCTCTCTCTTCCCTCTGCTCCCCCTCGCACCCTCCGCCCCAGCCCTCCGACCCCCCCATCGCTGAACACAGCAATGGGCATTCAGGTGCTCACAGCTCGCAACCTCTGGACGGAGGGCTATTGGGTGTGGGCTGGTGCGGCAGTTGGTGTCGCCTTCACTCTCCTCTGCATTCTGCTTACCATCGTTGCACTGGAGTATCTCAACCGTAAGCATTGCACTTCAATGCCTCAACCTCTGGACGGAGGGCTACTGGGTGTAGGGTGGCGCTGCTGCAGTTGGTGGCGCCTTCACTCTCCTCTGCATCCTGCGCCCTTGCATTCGAGTAACTCAACCACCCGTGCACTAAGTGACTCAACACTAAGTACCTTAACCGTAAGCTGTGCCCAAAGTACCTCTGCATTAAGTACCTTAACTGTACACCGTGCACTAAGTACCTAAAACGTGCACTAAGCACCTAAACTTTGAGCCATGCACTAAGCACCTCAACAGTACACAAACGTATCAAAACCTTAAGCAGTTGCACACACTTGATTCCCTCTCAAGCATAATCTGCGCACTAAACTAAGTACCAAAACAGCAAATACTGCAACCGTAAGCTGTTTCACTCATGCACTCTTGCTCTAACTCTCTCTCAATTCTCCCCTCACCCATCACAACCCGCTCCTTCCCCCAACTTAACCCAAAACCCAGCCAAGAATCTCCCCAGAATCAACTAGACTCCTTGCTCACCCCTCCCATGCCCTCTACCATTCCCCCCTCTCCCTCTTCCCCCCTCACTCCCCATCCTGGCCCAGGGCGCAGCCAGTGATCCCCCCCCAACTTCTCCCCCTTTCCTTCCCCCAGCGTGGCCCAGGGCGCAGCCAGTGATCCCCCCCAACTTCTCCCCCTTTCCTTCCCCCAGCGTGGCCCAGGGCGCAGCCAGTGATCTCCCAGCATCAACTAGACGCCCGGGAAGCATCGCTAGCCGGCACCAATTTGGAATTTGCCTCACGCTACTCCTCCCTGTGCTCCCTCACGCTGAATCACCCCTCGATTCCTCATTCTCCGTCTCCAACAACCCCCTGCTCTTCCCCTTTTCCCCCTCCTTCCCCCCCCTCTCTCTCCTCTTCCCCCCCAGCATGGCCAAAGGCCCAGCCAGTGATCTCCCAGCATCAGCTAGATGCCCGGGAAGCATCTCTAGCCGGCACCAATCTGGACTTCGCCTCACGCTACTCCTCCCTCCGCGCCCGCACGCTCTCCCGCACCGGCTCCACTGCCACGGCACGCTTCCTCGCCAGCAACCGCTTCCGCTCCCCCAAGAGCCTCGCCAGGCCTTCCGCTTCTGCCCGCTCGCTCGGATTTTTTTCTTCGGCAGACCGGCGCTTCGCTCCCGAGGTTTGGGGTCGTGGATGTCTGAAGGAGAGGATGGGGAAGGGCGTATGGTAGCCGTAGGAATGGTAGGAGAAGCCGTATAGGGTCGTTTCTGGGTTTGGTGGTGTTTCTCCTGGTGGTGGTGGTGGTGCTGGTGGTGGTGCTGGTGCTGGTGCTGGTGCTGCTGTTGGTGCTGCTGGGAAAGTGGGTGAGAGTACGGGAGTCAGTGCAATCAGCAGCACAGGCGGAAGGGGTAAGAAGCAGCGGCAGAGGAAAGCGGATATCGTTTATGAGTGACGGTGGGGTGGTGAGTGGAGTTAGCAGCACAGGAGGAGAGGAGAAGCATCGGCAGAGGAAAGCAGTTTCGTACATGAGTGATGGGGGTGTGAGTGATGGTGGTGCGGTGAGTGCAGTTAGTATCACAGGAGGAGAGCAGAAGCAGCGGCAGCGTAAAGCAGTTTCGTTTTTGAGCGATGGGGACGCGAGTGACGGCGGCGGGGTGGTGAGCGCAGTTAGCAGCTCTGGCGGAGGAGAGAAACAGCGGCAGAGAAAAGCGGTTTCGTTCTTGAGTGATGGGGACGCGAGTGATAGTGGGGTGGTGACTGCAGGTAGCGGCACAGGAGGAGGAGAGGTTGGAGGAGGGGAGGAGAAGCAGCGGCAGAGGAAACCAGTTTCATACATGAGCGACGGTGGGGTGGTGAGTGCAGTTAGCAGCCCAGGAGGAGAGGTTGGAAGAGGAGAAGCAAAGCAGCGGCAGAGGACAGCAGTTTCGTTCTTGAGTGATGGGGATGCGAGTGAGGGTGCAGGGGGCATGACTGCGAGTGGAGGGGATATAGGCCAGCACGGCATGGTCCTCCCCTTTGATCCGCTCACCCTCTCCTTCCACAACGTCAACTACTATGTCGATATGCCTGCGGAGCTAAAAGACAAAGCCGCGCCGCCTGGCGAGCGGCTGCAGCTGCTGCGCAATGTGTCCGGCGTGTTTCGTCCCGGAGTGCTGACCGCCCTGATGGGGGTGTCTGGGGCAGGGAAGACCACGCTAATGGACGTGCTGGCAGGGAGGAAGACCGGGGGATACATTGAAGGGGATATCCGCGTGTCTGGTTACCCGAAAGTGCAGGAGACGTTTCTGAGGGTGTCGGGGTATTGTGAGCAGGTGGATATTCATACGCCCCAGGTGACCGTGCATGAGTCTCTCCTCTACTCCGCCTGGATGCGCCTGCCTGAGGAGATCGACCGCGATGTCATCCTGGTGAGTCAATGATAGTGGTGAGTGGAGAGGTGTTTACTGGTGAATAGAGGGCGTGACCGTGCATGAGTCTCTCCTCTACTCCGCCTGGCTTCGCCTGCCTGAGGAGATCGACCGCGATGTCATCCTGGTGAGTGCATGGGCGGGATGAGAGACGTGCTCATGGTGAGTCAATGGTAGTGGTAATGGTGATGGTGATGGTGATGGTGATGGTGATGGTAATGGTGATGGTGATGGTAATGGTAATGGTAATGGTAATGGTAATGGTAATGATAATGGTAATGGTGAGTGGATGGATGTTTTTTGAAGTCTCTGCTCTTCTCCGCCTGGCTATGCCGGCAAGAGGAGATCGACAGGGATGTTATGATGGTGAGTGGAGAGGTGTGGTTGTGTTGAGTGGAGGGGTGTGGTTGTGGTGGATGGATGGGATGTGTGGGGGGATGTAATCATGGTGAGTGGAGGGATGTGGTAAAGATGGTTGGAGGCGTGTAACTGTGCTGAGTGAGTGGTAGGCAGTTCCTTTCGCCCATACCATTCCCCCATATCCTCATGTCTCCGTCCGCAACAGGAATTCGTATCTCTTTTGAAATTTCCGAAAAAAGGGGCTGATGGAGTTTAAGCCGGTGAAGGGCACTGTGGTGTGGTCGGAGTTTGCAAGCATGTCTCTTTCCTCATCCTTGCTACAATGCCCATGCCCCTCTTCCCTCTCCCCTCTCCCCTCTCCCCACTCCCCTCTCCCCTCTCCCCACTCCCCTCTCCCCTCTCCCTACTCCCCTCTCCGCTCTCCCCTCTCCACTCTCCCCTCTCCCCTCTCCCCTCTCCCCTCTCCCCTATCCCCTCTCCCCTCTCCCCCCTCCCCTCCTCCCCTCTCGCCTCTCCCCTCCCAACAGGAATTCGTGGAGGAGGTGACGGAGCAGGTCGTGGTGAAGGAGCGCTGGTGGGAGTCTTTTCCCATCCTTTCTCGGGTTGGTGAAGTTAGAGCCGGAGAATGGAGCATGTATCCATGCCACTCTACCAGCTCCCCTCCCCCATTTCCCTCTCCCGTCTCCCATTTCCCCCCTCCCCTGTCCCATCTCCAACAGGAATTCGTGGAGGAGGTGGAGGAGCTGGTCGAGTTAGAGCCGGTGAAGGGAGCACTGGTGGGGACACCTGGGTATGCAACAACACCCCTTTCATCCCCCCACTCCCTTGTTTGCCCTGCCCAACAGGAATTCGTGGAGGAGGTGGAGGAGCTGGTGGAGTTGGATCCGGTGAAGGGCGCGCTGGTGTGGTGGGTGTCAGTGCTCATGCCTCTTTCCCCACACCTCTCTACCCTCTCCTCAACAGGAATTCGTGGAGGAGGTGGAGGAGCTGGTGGAGTTGGAACCTGTGAAGGGAGCGCTGGTGGGGACGGCGGGGCAGGACGGGCTGTCGGTGGAGCAGAGGAAGCGGCTGACCATCGCAGTGGAGCTCGTAGCCAACCCCGCCATCATCTTCATGGACGAACCCACCTCAGGTACCACCTCCCTCTCAGGTACCACCTCCCTCTCAGGTGCCACCTCCCTCTCAGGTGCCACCTCCCTCTCAGGTACCACCTCCCTCTCAGGTACCACCGTCCCCTCAGCCGGGCAGGATGGTCTGTTGGACTGGGCAGAAGCCTCTTCCTTACCCGCCCGTCCTCTTAGTGGACGTTTTTTTTTTTTAAGGCGCCTCAGAAGATTTTGACCTTTGAGGCGGCTAGGACATTGTCCACTTTTTAGCACATCAATATTTTGAGGTGAAACCTGGCAGAACACAACACAGTGAAACCTGGTCGCACCGCTTTTCCCCAACGTTTTTCTCTCCAGCCCAAGATTTGTTTTTTGCTGCCCAGTGAAGCACACACCCAGCATCAATATTCTAATCATACCAGCATCCAGCGTCAAACTTCTACCTCTTTCCCTTGACCTCCCACCTTTTTCCGTCAAATTTCCAACTCGCCTCCTCGAAGTTTCATTACTTTCCCTCACACTCTCACCTCTTTCCGTCACCTTCTTAACCTTCTCTCCTTCCTCTCATCCAATCACAGGCCTGGATGCGAGGGCAGCGGCCATAGTGATGAGGGCGGTGCGCAACACAGTGGAAACTGGTTGCACCTCTTTGCTTCACCAGCTTTCCTCTTCCTCTCACATGTTTCTCTCCGCCTACTCTCTAACCTCACTTCCAATCACAGGGCTGGATGCGAGGGCAGCGGCCATAGTGATGAGGGCGGTGCGCAACACAGTCAACACGGGCCGCACAGTCGTGTGCACCATCCACCAGCCGTCCATCGACATCTTTGAGGCCTTTGATGAGGTGAAGCATCATGTAATCTGTCATATATATTCAAATATATATATATATATAATATATGTATATATATATGCACACCAACCGTCCAGTGACATCTTTGAGGCCTTTGACGGAGCAACAAAAGACAACAAGGGTTTTATGCTTGAGCTGTGTCCACCAATGTATATGCATACACTTCAGATTATACGTCGTGTCAAAACCTGCAAGAAAATCATGTGCGGCACAGTCAGCACAGGTCATAAGGTGGTGTGCTTCAGAGCACTATACACCAGCCATGTGTTCGTTACACTGTAACGAAAATACACTGTGAAGAGGCACACGGTACATTGCAATGCATGCACACAACATCACCGTACAATGATTTGCACCATACTCTATGAATGATTTACTCCACAATGCCTTACTCCAGCTCAAATCGCACTCTCTCTTCTCTCCTACTCTTCGTCCCTCCCTTGTACTACTGGCACAGCCTACACTACCATGTACTTGTTCCCCCTTCGCATCTCCGCGTGTGATAAGTCGACTCAAAAATCGACTCATCGCACGCTGGATCCGCCTGCACTAGCATGTACTTGTACCCCCTTCGCATCTCTTCTACCTCTCTCTCTTGCAAGATTATGCCTTGCGTTTGCGGCTGATGCAGCGTACAGGAGAGGTGATTGACATATGCACTATAGGATATATGTTGCTTCTTGCCCTAACTTCCCATCCCATACCCTCATCCCACCCACCTCATACCCACTTCTTCCTCACTTCCTACCCCCCTCCTACCTCCCACCGCCCTGCAGCTGCTGCTGATGCAGCGGGGGGGAGAAGTCATTTACGCGGGGTCACTGGGGGCACAGTCATGCGACCTCATTCGCTACTTCAAGGTAAAGCATAGATACGTCAAGGAAATGATACTTCAAGGTAAGGCATAGTTACGTCAAGGGAATGATACTTAAGCACGGGGCAGGAATGGTGGCTTAAATGCTTCTAACATGGTTAATAATTCAATAAATTGCTTCCATCCTGTCTCGAACCATATTGTCTGATTTATTTTTGGCACCTCAAATTTTAAGCCTCTCATGGCTTGTCCCGTTCATAAATTCTCTTCTCCCTCCTTTCGAGGTCATGAATGCCTCCCTTCTGCTTTCCCCTTCTTCATTTCCCTCTTCCATGGTCCACCCTTCCTTCCACCAGTCCATCTTAGGAGTGCCGCCCATGCAGCTGGGGCCAACGCTGCAGCGTGGATGCTGTCATATGTCTCCCTCCCCCCTGCCCCCCCATAATGCCCCCCATAATGCCCCCCGTAATGCCCCCCCGCCCATTCTCTCTCTCCCATTCCCAATCCCCCTGCAGGCCATCCCAGGGGTGCAGCCAATCAAGCCCGGGGCCAACCCTGCAGCGTGGATACTCGAGGTCATAATGTCTCCCTCCGCCCTGCCCCCTCTCCCATTCCCTCCCTCCTTCCCCACCATTCCCATCCCCTCTCCAGGCCATCCCAGGGGTGCAGCCAATCCAGCCAGGGGCCAACCCGGCAGCGTGGATGCTCGAGGTCACGGCCGCAGCAGCAGCAGAGAGGCTTGGCGTCGACTTTGCCCAGCTGTTCCGCCAGTCAGAGAAGTTCAGGTGAGAACAGCAGAGCCTCAGGTGAGAACAGCAGAGGCTCAGGTGAACACTGCAGGGGCTCATAAGCTCTGTTTCATCAGACAAGCCAGTTCAGGTTCCAGATAACCATCCTGGCCTCTTCTCCCAAACCCAGTCTCCCTCACACGCCCTTCACCCAGTTCCACATATCCCTGCTTACCTTATCTGCAACTACCCTTCATACCCTCCTCCCCCTCTCTCCTCCTCCCCTCTCCTCCATCCTATCCTCTCATACCTCTCTTTCCCATGCCCCATTACTACATAGAGCCGCTGATATATTACTCAACCTCGTGCTTCACAGCCGGTCAATGGTTGGTTGCTGAGAGTCGTCAGAAACAATCTGCAGGCCCAACAGCCTCGCTGATTCAACCATCAATCATGGGCATACATCTCTCGTACAAAAATCAACGCGCGTGCCACATGCAGCTCTTTCCCCCTCTTTTGTACATCTTCTCTCCCATAAACTCTTCTCCCCACTATCCCCTGCCTCTCTCCCTTGCCCCCCACACCATCAGGTCAATGGAGGCACTCATCCAGGAATCCAGCATGCCTCACTCGCTTCCTCAAATACCCTCTCCCCCCCCACCCTCCCCCCCCGACACTCTGCTCCCCCTTACCCCCCACACCAACAGGGCCATAGAGTCGCTCATCCAGGAATCCAGTGAGCCGCCAGAAGGCAAGCCGCCAGAAGGCAAGCCAGACCTGCTCTTCCCGACGCAGCACCTCACACCACTACTCTCCCTTACACTCTCTTCCCCCCGACCCATTGCGCTCCCTTTCCCTTAACACCCTCAGGGCCATCGAGTCACTCATCCAGGAATCTAGCATCCCACCCGAAGGCGAGCCGGACCTCTTCTTCCCAACGCAGCACCCCACCACGCCGCTCTCCCAGTTCGCGACCCATCTGTGGAAGCGCCACCTCATGTACTGGCGCATGCCCGACTACAACGGCGCGCGCTTCTTCTTCTCCTTCATCATGGCTCTCCTCATCGGCGGGGTCTTCTTTGGCTTCGGACACGCCCGCGACACACCGCAGCAGATTGTGAACGTCATGGGTGCGCTTTACACGGCTGCTCTCTTCCTCGGGTGGAGCAATCTCACATCAATCCAGCCAATGCTGGCCGTGGAAAGGAGTATCTACTACCGGGAGCGGGGCGCCGGGATGTATGGAGCTATCCCGTACGCGCTCGCGCAAGGGGTGATCGAGTTGCCATACCTGCTGATTCAGGCTGTGGTGTACTCGTTAATAACATATTCGATGATCCAGTTCGAATGGACGCTCGGCAAGTTCCTGCTGTACCTGCTGTTCCAGTTCCTCACATTGCTCTACTTCACGTGTTTCGGCATGATGACGAATGCCATCACGCCCGCTGAAGGGCTGGGAACGCTGCTCTCTGCCTTCATCTACTCCTTCTGGAACCTTCTCTGCGGCTTTCTCCTGCCACAGCCAGTGAGTGCAGTGCTCGTTGCTATCTGTTTTCGAGTGCTCGATGACTGTAGCCAGTGAGTGGTGGTTTCCACGTAATAAAAGTGCTGTTTTGAGACGTCTGAAAACAACACTTTTTTGCTCGTTGATATCTGTTTTTGTGGTGGCCTGCTCGCCCGCACGCTCAATGGCTGTCGCTGATGAAGTGCATTGTGCATGTTGGGCTCTGTTCTCCGTTATTGAGTTGTCAACTTAACATCCATGCATACAATAATGGAAATGGCTGTGTTAGATCAACCCTGATAACTGGCTGTCTTCTCGCCTCCTTCTCTCTGGCTTGTTTGCCCCCTTCACATACTCAACAGAAAATCCCAGTGTACTGGATATGGCTGTATTGGATCAACCCTGTCGCGTGGACCCTCTATGGCCTTGCTGCTTCCCAGGTATGCCCTCTTCCTTTTTGCCCTCAGCAATTCCTTCTTACCCAAACTTAGCTTCATGTATTCATCGTTTCATCTCTTGTTGCGTTACAGTTGGGAGATGTAACGACGCTGGTGGTGGGTCCACCAGGCACGCCACCTCAGACAGTATCGCAGTTCATCCAGCTTTACTACGGCTTCTCCCACGACTGGCTGGGCTACGTCACTGTTGCTCTGCTCGGCTTCTCCTGTCTCTTCTTCTGCGTCTGCACCTACGCCCTCCGCAACCTCAACTTCCAGAGGCGATAGGACTGGGAGATAGTATGAGCTGCTGTGAATGTATCACAAAGATGTGTTCATTTACGTGCCTCAAATGATGTCTCTGAACACCCTACGGTATTCCTATTATCAGCATTTGTAATTCGCTTGAGAGTGCGCACAACATCTGGTTTCTACAAATTACCCCTCACCTTTACCAAGTCACCCGAAGGCAGACCTTTGAATGAATGGGCACCTGTAGGACAGACCTTGGAATGACTGAGAGTGAAAAGGAAGAATAACTTCTTCTCTAATATCCCACCCAACCGTTGCATGTTGTGGAAAGGAGTGCTTGTTATCGGGAGTGGGGCGCCATGGTTTATGGAGCCATCCCATATGCGCTCGCACAAGTGGTAATACAGCTGCAATACTTGGTGATTCAGGATATGGTGTACTCAGAATTAACAGACGGTACTCCATTACTCAGTTCGAGTGGACACCTAGATAATTCTACGGCTCCTGCTGTTACAGTTCCTCAAGCTGCTCTACTCCGCGTGTTATGGCATGGCGAGTGGGATTATCCCAGCTGAAGGTCTGGATATGTTTCCATCTGCCTTCATTCACTTCTGGAACCTCTGCTGCCAGCGAGTGCTGTACTCTATGTTCTCTATTCCTAAGTGCTCAAAAGAGAATCCCTGTGAGCCATGGAAAGGAAATGGCTGGCTGGGTTGATCAACCCACTAAAATGACCCCCTTTCCCTCTCCTGCTGTCCTTATTATTTCTACCCGTCACACACTCCACATAACAACTCCACTTACTGGCAATGGATGCATTGGAACAACCTCATTGTATGGATCCCCTACTGCCTTGCCGCTTCCTAGGAATGTTAGATTTATTTCCACTCTCATGTAGCATCTTCTTACCTTCTCCCATTTCACTACCATTCTAATCTTTGTACCGTTCCAGTTTTTTCTCTAGCCTTCCACTCCAAGGAGACCACTGTGGTTAAACAGTAAAACTTGTCCACAACTACCAGAATGTAGTGCTTCCCACGAGTTCCAGCAACTGGGGCAGAGCCCTAGAGGTCCAAGTGCAGGGTCTGAAGAGGTTCAGTGCATGAGACAACGAGGAGGAGTGAGGGGTGGCGCACTGCCGGCCCTCAACGTAGGCAGTGCACGGCAGCGCAAGTGAGGGAGGAAGTGGGGCAAGTGACTCAGGGAGAACTGAGACAAGACAATGAGAAACTATATGACTCGGGCGCGGAAGGGAATGGAGACTTAGGCAGTGGTGCCACAACAGCGACGGGTGGATGAGGGACCGAGGCGAGCAGGACGCAGCCACCTGACTAGACGCAGACACCGGGATGGATGCAGTGCACTGTGAGAAGAGGCCTGACCCAGACTCCTGAGAGAACTTAACAAGATGAGTCCCAGTGGTAGAGTCAGTAAAGGTCGCAAACAACTTGTGCCCAGGAAACATGATGGTGACACCCAGTCCTGAAGATGACCCACACCAACCGAATTCTTGGAGAACAAAAGGGCGTGCAGACCCGTAAGGGAGCCAGGGGGGATTGGCGGAGACAGGAGGGAAATAGTGCTGCGCGCGACCGGTCTAGAAGAGGGGTCGGCCAGCACAACTGCGACAGGAGCTCCAAGAGGCGTGAGGCTGGTGTGGCAGTGGAAGAAACATTGAGAGGCACCGGAGTCGAGCGTGAAGGAAATCGACGCGTCTGCAGCTGTCACACTTGTGCTAGCAACAACGGATGTACTAGGTGATGGGGAAGCGAGGATCGCTAGGCGATGTGGAAGCAAGGCGTGCTAGGCGATGGGGAAGCGAAGCGCACTAGGCGATGGGGCAGTGGGGCGCACTATGCGATGGGGCAGTGGGGCGCGCTAGGCAATGGGGCAGTGGGACAGCAGGGCGCGCTAGAATAGGAACTAAGTTAGAAGCGATTAGGAAGGTGAGTGGAAGCAAGTAGGAAGGTGAACGGAAGCTACCAAACCTAGCATGATACCATGTCGAGAGAATCAAAGTGACTAGAGGCTAGGGTACAGTGATGATAGTACAAAGTGTTGTACTCACTAAAATCTAACCCTGCCTAGCCTGTAGAAACATATATCAAATATAGTTTGACAGATCGACCCTTGCGCGAGTACGTACGGGATATCTCCATACATTCCTGCGCCCCGCTCGGCAGTAAATACTCCTTTCCAAGGTCAGCATTGGCTGGATCGATGCGAGACTGCTCCACCTGAGGAAGTGAGCAGCTGTGTAAAGAACAACCATGTATTGACATGTATACTTAATATATTAAAAAATGTATAAAAATATGTAGAGGGAAGAAAGAAAGCAGCAGAGTGGCCTAGGGATCTCCCATCCGCCTCATCCTTTCACACCATCTCATCAGCCAGAGCTTCATTCGGAGACTACCAAATGCTCAGCTCCTAGGCCCTCTCAAGCAAACTCTTCCAAACTCTTCCATACTGCCCCCTGCTCCTGATCTACTGGTGTGGTCTATGTGACATGTGGCATTGTTATGCCATCCCCCAACCCAATGTATTGCACCATGAAGGGTCCCAGAAGTATGGCAGCATTGTAGCCTCCTCACCTCGCACCAGCCCAAACTCCCCTGATTCATGGGATCCCTCCAAACATAAGAAGCATATAAAGAACTCCTATTCATTCTAAAAAAACTGTACTATCAGATACATAGAAGCTTTAGCTACTTGGCAGTTTGAACAGTACAGTTCCTTATTAAAAATAGGGCTGCACCTTTTATTCAAACACAAGCTGGAAGCTGAACAGAAAGCAGCACCAGTGGTCTAGAGATCTCCCATGACCCCATCTATCTCATCCATTCCCACCTTCTCATTCATACCTCCCTACCACACAGCAGGATTCCTATAGCCACTGGAAGTTGAGGTTGCGGAGGGTGTAGGTGAGAAGGCAAAGATGAGAAGATGGGAGAAGCCGAGCAGCGCCATTCACAACAGCTCATTTCTCCCAAAACTATTGCCACTGGAAGCTGAGGTTGCGGAGCGCCAGGCGAACACGCAGAAGAAAAGGCAAGAGAAGCCATGCGTTGCAGCAGCAGCAGCACGGCCCAGCCAGACTTGCCAGGCTCAAAACAATTCCGACAGGCTTCTGACTCGTCTTGTCTTTTTCTCAGCGCATTTGGAAGTTGAGGTTGCAGAGGGCATAGAAGGTGAACACACAGAAGAAGAGACAGGAGACGCCGAGCAGAGTAGTAGCGCGCTCATCTCTCCCATTCCTAACGATTTTGGAAGTTGAGGTTGCGGGGGGCATAGAAGGTGAGCACACAGAAGAAGAGACAGGAGAAGCCGAGCAGAGCAGCTGCGCGCTCATCTCTCCCATTCCTAACGATTTTGGAAGTTGAGGTTGCGAAGGGCGTAGGTGCAGACGCAGAAGAAGAGGCAGGAGAAGCCGAGCAGAGCAGCAGCAGCATAGCCGAGCCAGTCGTGGGAGAAGTCGTAGTAAAGCTGGATGAACTGCGATACCATCTGAGGTGGTACTCCTGGTGAACTCACCACCAGCGTCGTTACATCTCCCAACTGTAACGCAGTCAGAGATGAAATGAGGTACAAGTGACAGAAGTTCGGGATGGTATAAGGAACAGGTGGGAGGGGAGTAGGAGAAGTGAAATATGAAGGTAAAACAGGCTTAGAGGAAGACAAGGGTATACCTTCTAAAACAGCGAGGCAAAAGAGGGAATACCTGGAACGCAGTGAGGAAAAAACGGGTATATCTGGGAATCAGAAAGGCAAAATACGGTATACATGGGAAGCAGCGAGGAAAAAAAAGAAGGAAAAAAGAAAGAAAGAAAGGGAAGTAGCAAGGCAGGTATACCTGGGAAGCAGCGAGGAAAAAAAAAAGGAAAAAGAAAGAAAGGGAAGTAGCAAGGCAGGTATACCTGGGAAGCAGCGAGGCCATAGAGGGTCCACGCGACGAGGTTGATCCAATACAGCCATATCCAGTACACCGGGATTTTCTGTAGACCGTGGGAGGGAAGAAGAATCAGCAGGCCAGGAGTGGGGAAAAAGGGTCATTATATGAAGTTGATACCATGCAAACATTTCCATTACAGCACTAGGGATGTTATGTTGAGTACTCAAGAAAGAAGAACAGAGCCCAAGATGCACAATGTACTCGCCAGCTGTGGTAACGAGCGTGCGGGCGATCAGGCCACCACTCACTGGCTACAGTCATCGAGCACTCGAAAACAGATAGCAACGAGCACTGCACTCACTGGCTGTGGCAGGAGAAAGCCGCAGAGAAGGTTCCAGAAGGAGTAGATGAAGGCAGAGAGCAGCGTTCCCAGCCCTTCAGCGGGCGTGATGGCACTCGTCATCATGCCGAAACACGTGAAGTAGAGCAATGTGAGG